CCCCCAGCCGAGCTGCTGGCCTGGCTTTTCTGGGGATGGGACAAAATTATGGATTTTTGTTCAGCATTTCCACATGTAATACTCACTTTTCAATGGCTTGGCTGCCAATTGAGTGGCAAAAGCAAAGCGCTGGAAGGGACCAGAAGATGTGAGCCAACGGGGCTGTTTGGGCTCGCCCCCAGCAGCTGGGGGCTCTGATGCTAATAAATAAAAACACAGACCATGGGGAGCTTTTTAACCTCAAAACCCCCTTTTTTTTAATCTCAAAAATCCCTTCTCCTCTCAGCCCGTCTGCGATGTCCCACCTCCGCTGTGTTTGCAGGGGGCACATCTGAACCCCCCCTTCCCCTGCAAGCCCAAGCCAAGCTCAGCCAGGCTGTGAAAAGCTGGAGTTAACTCCTTCTCCTGTCCACCAGGAAAACCCCTCCAGCAGTGAACTGCAAAGCTGTAAATCCCCCCCACACACCTTTCCCCAGCAGCAGCATCGGCAAGGCTGGATTTGTCTCCCGGCAGCTAAGCTTAGTGCAAGGTGTGCAGCTATTTGAGATTATCGAACATTTTGTCCTCAGCCAGCTCACCCCCACCCAGCCCGACCCCAACCACCCTTAAACCCCGACCGAGGGAAGCTCTTGCCCCGCTCCTCCCGACAGCATCGCTGCTGGGGGTCCTGGCCGGAGCCCCGAGGCTTCGGGCGGGCTGGGGAGAGCAGGAGCCGTGCTGGCAGCGGGATCCAGCCCCGGCAGGGATCAGGTCTCGTAGCCATAGCAGCGGGGTATTTATTACAGCCCGGCCGCACTCCACCCCGGGCTGGCGGACTTTAGCCCTTAATCGAATAGAAAAAGTAGCAGCAGAGCAAGCAGACGCCTCCAATCCCGACGAGGAGCATAAAACACAAGGAGGGTCCCCAAAAAAATGGTGAGTGAAGCGTTTCGGCTGGCATAAACTGCTCCCCGCCACCCAGATTTTAAAGCTGGTTTTTTTTTTTCTCTCTCCTTCTCCTTCCCCTCTTCATGCTACAGGCAAAATTTCTATCCCAGGATCAAATTAATGGTATGTACAGTTTTGTTCTGGCTTTGCTTAGGTTTTGTGGTTTTTTAACTAGCAAGATCAGCTTAACAAATTTTTATATAGATGGCATTTCCCCCAAAGTGTCCTGGTCTGGGCTTGTGCTCCCCCGCTTGCCCTCCTCGCAGCTCTCGAGGGGATCTGCTTGCTCTGAAACCAGAGAAATCTCCCCAATTTCATTAAGCCAGCGCCAGGCACAGGCAGGGAGCTGAAACCGCCCGCAGGCTGGATTGCACCGCGACCAGCAGAGCTAAACCAGCAACCTCCCAGCCCCATAAGCACGCCAGCCCCCGCCAAGCTAGCAGGGACCAGGAAAAACGTCAAGTGGCCATTTGCAGTACTGGAGGTATCACACATGATGGGAGCGAAGACGAAGGAGGAAGAGGAGGAAGGAGAGGGTGCAAGAAGTACAAATTCTCATTGCGAGGCACCGGGGCTCTCCCTGGGAAGGGGAACCCTGCCTCAGATGGGAAGGAGGAAGGGTTTGCTAGGAGAATGGCGGAAGAAAGCTGAAATAAGAGTATTATTGCAAATCTGTTAATCTGCAGCACCCTTGGGCTCAGCAGCTCTGCAGGATTGCTGCAGGGGAGGAGGCAGCCGGGGCAGGGGGAGGCCACGGCACCCACGGGGCACCCAGCACCCGCCACAGCACCCTGCACTCACGCCTGCGATAAGGTGTTGGGATAGCGAGGGTGAGGAGGGGAGCGGAGGGTGATCGCACCAAAATAAGCTGGGTTTTCCTTCCCTGGCTGCTCTGCAGCCAGGACTGTCCCTCTGCAGCACAACTTGCCCGTTAGCGTTGAGCGTGAGGAGGAGCGGAGCCTGCCGCTGCGCTGGGAGCAGGGTGGGAAGATGAGAGGTGGCAGCCTTATCTGGGTCAGCTGCAAGCCTGATTTATTTATTTATTCAAAAACTGCAAAGCCCGTGTTCGAGGGGGCAGGGGAGGGGGCGAGCTTTATTAAAATCCAGCCGGTGGCAGGGGCGAGTGCTGGGCCCTGCACAGAACGTGGCAGGGACCAAACCAGCATCCTCCACCGCTCCTGAGGGCCCCTTCCTTCAGCATCCCCTCCTGCCCCCCAGGAAGGCAGAGAAAAGTCCTTTTTAACAGTATTCTGCAGATCTGCAAGCCTGACTCCACTTTCAGCCTTGCTTCGTTAGGCTGAAGGACCCCAATTAGCTCAGCTAGTCACAAGCCTGGATTTTAATTGCCCTTGGCACTCTTCCCCGGGGTCCTCCCCCACTGTCCATCATCTTCCTTGAAACAAGACACCCCGAACCAGACACGAGATCCCTGTTGGAACCCTACCAACGCCGCCCGCCCGGGCAACGGGAGGAGAAACACCACCGGGAGATCAAGGTAATCTTACAGGGCATAACAGAGTTTTGGTTTTTAATTAGAGTTCAAGGAATGCTTTTCCCTGTACGACAAGAAACAAAAAGGCAAGATAAAAGCCTCTGACCTGATGGCAGTGATGCGGTGCCTGGGAGCCAGCCCGACGCCGGGAGAGGTGCAGAGGCACCTGCACTTGCACAAGATCGGTAAGCGAAGCGCGGCGGGTAGCACGTGCCTAAAACACACCGGGTTACAGCTGGAGAAATTCAACTTTTCGGTGGCCAGGAGGCTACGTGCAGAGGCAAGGAGGCTGCCCGCGGGCCCGTAGGTAATGCCCGCTCTCGGGTGAAACAGCCCGGGCAACGCAGAGTAACCAAGAGCAGTCACCAAACCCCAGTCCGATGTGCTAGAGAGTGACCAAACCAATCCAGCACAGCTTGAAACGGGGCCGGGAGAAAAGAAAAGCTTCGCGAGCGGCGGGAGGCACACGTATTGCGTACGGCCTCGGCGGCTGGGAAAGCGTCGACTCCAGCCAGCAGAGGTAGGAGGGCACAGAAGGATGCTCGTCTGCAGAATCGTGTAAATAAATTCAAAGTGCAAAGACCAAATCACGAGAGAAGGTGGGCTGGATTAAAAATTCTGGCTACAAGGTTTCAGAGCACGCGTCTAGCAAAGCTATAGATGGGTTTTTCAGGCCAGGAGAAAGCCCCCAGCACTGGTCCACCCTGGTCCAGACCAGAGTCAGGCAAATGGGAAAAGGTGCCCCAGGAAGGGGAACTGGGGGGCGGGGGGGACATGGATGACAGAGGAGGGGGATGCTCAGGTCTGGATCCAGGCTACAAAACTGAGCCGTTCCTAAAGAACCTGCTCTTATTTTTCCAGACAGAAACGCAGAGTTGGATTTCTCCACTTTCCTGAACATAATGTACAGGCAAACGAAGCAAGAGGAACCCGAGAGGGAAATCCTCACGGCCCTGTCCATGATAGACAGGCAGAAGAGAGGCGTTATTGCTGTTTCGGAGCTGAGAGCCAAACTTACAAGACTAGGAGAAAAGCTTTCTGAGGAAGAAGGTATTTTGCAATTCAAAGACATACCAAGCGCTTCCCCCCACCCATCTCCTTATTTCCTTCCTGATTTTCCTCCATAGGCAAATCTGGGATCAGGTGCTCCCAGCTGGGAAGGCAGGACCTGTGCCAACCTGGGTGGGGGGAGAAGGGATGTCCCCCATCGCGCCCGAGACGTGCCATGCACCGGGGCGTCGCGCCTTGCCCTCGCGTCCCCGGGTCCCCCCCACCGGCAGCAGCCCTGCCCCAGCCCCAGCCCCACCGTGGGCTTGTGCCTTCCCTTAAAACACTTTGCCCCCATAAAGCAGAGCCCCCAGCTGAGCCCGGGCGGGCGTGCAGAGCGGGGACGGTCCCAGCCACGT